TAACACCCGTCTTAGTTTTCAAGATTACGAAAACTAAGACCCCCTAAAATCGAATCCGTCGAAATATAAAGTCAAATTGTAACCGACATAGGTCTGATCTGTCAAATTATATCATGTTCGATCCTTTCCACCGAGTTTTAGGTCAAATTTAACGGTAAATTTAGGGGTCTTAGTTTTTGTAACACCCACGTGCCACTACCCAGTCTTGGGTTTGAGGAAAAATTTTCTTTGGGCACGAACGATTAAAAGAGAAAAGAAAACGAGAGACGAAAAGTTTAAAGGGGCTTATCTAGAACTTTTGCCTGAAGGATGCACAGTTTCTCAAGGAAAAACACTAGCCGCCGTCTCTGATATCATTTTCTTTCGGGTGACTTTGGTCTTAACACCGTGCTCGTTAGGCTGCTGTTACAGCTTTTATTTGTGGCAAAATCGGGAAAAAAGTCGCATTATTATCTTAAAGGGAAGTAACATAGAGTAAATGCATTTTTTTTGGTTATCCCTTATTTTTCTCCTGTTTCTTTACTTTGTTTTTCTTTTTTTTTTCACTTTGTTGTTGTTGTTGTTGTTGTTGTTTTTATCTTCGAAATTATATTTTTCAGTTACGCGCCTGCATATTGGCGTACACCCTTGAGTTGGTGTCTCATATTACATATGTACACGAATGAAAACCTTTTAAAATCGATTGGATCGACTTGGTCAATACATGCGTGAAAAATGGAAAAGGAAAAAAATGTTCAGAAAAACCGGTTCCGTTTTACCCCAAAATAACTGAATAAAAGAACGAGCAGTTATATAGTTTCTTGATAATTTTCATTTTCTGTGCATTTCAGTTATCAGACATGGGGAGTGAATGGTAAGTCAAAGTCAAAACACTCTATTACCTTGATATTCCAGTCTCTACCACTAAAGTTTACATTAGTTATTGTCTAATAAGTGATTCTGATTTAAACTTTTAGTTAGCACATGCAGGTAAATTATTCAAATTGGTTTTCAACCAAAGAAATGGTAGGAATGTCCTTTGTCGACGTCATCTTTCACATGAATGTCACATTTGGAGGATCCTAGCTTGGTGTCTAGAAGACTACATCGAACCTTTTCAACTTTATCAAAGCCTGGAATTTCTTGCAACATACACTTTGTTTAAAATATAACGTTGCAGCAATATCTGCTGGTGACACATAAGTGTTTACCCTTATTTTCCTGGAAATGTCACAACACAATGTGGCAGCGAATCATTTCGCCTCTAGTATATAATTATTGCCGGGTTGTAGATAGATAATCCTCAGATATAACCGAATGTTAAATGTTTTTCTGCCTAAACAGCTCTTTATTTCTCCCTTTTAGGGCGCTCAATACAACGACGAGGTATGGCTTTGTTGGAGTCCTGATTAACCAGTCTTATTTCATGTTACCATCATAAAATCATGATAATCTTTGAACAATCATAATAATATGATTGTCATCACTATTAATGATGATGATAAATAAGTCTGAATACATATAACAGAAACTCATCTGTTTGTAATATAGTGCCATGGCTCGTCGTCAACATGTGAACGATCCTCCCTGCCCCGATGAAAAATACATCCCATGTTCGCTGTTTCTAACTGAAAACGGAAGGTCCACATGAGACTCTGGTTAGAAAAAGTCAGGCAAAAAAAGTCGGTGGTCCTAGTTTTAGACTGTGTTTGGCCAGAGGCACTAAGTCTGGGGTTTCGAGTGTTACATCTTACGAAACAAATCACAGTGCAGCTATTACATACAAATAAAGGGGTTCCTGCGTAGCGTTTATGTGTGTTAAAAGTGGGAAGGGGGTAAGTTAAACGCTGATAATTGCAAATAAGACTCCGACGTATCGGCAATGCTACCTTCACCAGGGAAAATATGTGAGTTCGTTATAGCGAAAATTTGAAAATTTGAAAATGCGCGCGTAAAAACAAGCGAGTGTGCGCGCGCACAAGTCACGTGAAGGAGAAATCTTGATTGAGTCCACGCGGCGCGAGGGTGCCAAAATTATGAATAAAGCGCATCTCCTGGCGTCTTCTTTTGTCTTGCTTGGGTGGACCAGCTCTAATCACTGCTACTTGCATGTCCTCCAGCTGGTGCTCCACTCCCGCAAAATGGGCAGGCACCGGCGGGGCCACTTTCTTCTTACTGCGCTTTTCACAAACATGCGAATTCTGAAGTTCAAAAGCCAACTGACGATTGCGGTTTTCGCTGCCGTCAATCATATTAACGGACCTCTTAGGAAACAAACATTTACTTTAACAAGTTCAAAAGGTCAAGGTTTGTGATTTGTGATTAATGGATTTCGATCCGTTTTGTGTTTCTGTGTTTCAAGGTTCGTTGCTTGTGATCATAATTATGATTGACGGCAGCGAAAAACGCAATTGTGAAGGCGGCTTTTGAACTTTAGAGTTCGCATGTTTGTGAAAAGCGCAGTAATGACGTCCAAACGGTGCTCCCGAAAACGGTCGCCAAGTCTACGGCCTGTCTCTCCTATGTATACGACCCCGGGGCATCTGCGGCACGAAATTCAATAGATCAGCTGGCTGGTGATACACGTAAAAAACCTGAGATTTTGATCTGCCCCTGTGCAGTGGTAATGCGGACAGGGGAGTTAATGAAAGAACAGGTCCGGCAGTTACGTCTGTGACAAGGAGAAGTGCCTATCTGACGTTGAAGAACCTGCGGTAAGGAGCTATGAACGAGAAGGTTTTTTGGTTTTTAGTGCGACAGAACGCTTTAAGCGGCAGTCTGTGAAATGTGACCTTGGTGCTTTCGTCATCCCGTAGAAGGGTACAATTTCGCAGTAGGATATTACAGACGGCGATGTTCTTAGGATGGTATGTAATGACCAGTGGGGGTCGGTCGGCCGCAGTGCAGTTACTACCCAGGATGGTGACTAATAGGTCAGCCCTCTGTTTTTCTTCCGCTCGGAGACGTGCTCTTGTAATTAGGCCATGGGGGTAAGCCGGGGCAACTATTCCCGCCACTGAGGACAATGCTGATGCTGATGCCCGGCCGTTTTGTAATTTCGACCTACTCACTGGAAAACCTAACACGAGAACGATCGTTAAAGGGGCTATATTTCAATTTTCCAAAAAAGATGTTCATAAAAAAACTCGTCGGTCGATCTTTACCTGCATGACTTCATGACTTGCCTAATGTTAATTCGATAAGCATCACATACCACCTCTAGTAAACTTACAATGAAAATAGATTTAAAGACAATTGGAAAAGACCAAGGCATCCTACCTAAGATGTGTCCAGTCCCTAGACAGCATAGAGAAGAAAGGGAAAGTTATCTTTATTTTGTCTTGCCGTCTTTTCACCGTTATACTAATGAATGGATTTCCTTTCATTACCCAGCTTGCCGTGCCCCGGTTGATATAGCGTTCATTATCGATGGTTCAGGAAGTATTGAGCAGTATGGAAGAGGGAACTTCCGTCGATGTCTCAACTTCGTAAAAGCCATTGTCAGGGGATTTAATACCGACAATCGACAAACTCGGGTCGGAGTCGTCTTGTTCTCGTCCAGGCCTCGGCTGATCTTCGGCTTTAGACGATATCGTCGAAAGAATCAACTTCTTACAGCAATCAGCCGCATACGCTACCCCAGGGGAGGAACTAAAACCGGATATGCCATGCGTTATACTTACTACCGTGTGTTTAGATATGCAAGAAGAGGAGTTCGAAAGGTATTTCTTTGGACCTTTATTATTACCTTTGTTTTTAGAAAAGTGCGTAGCTAAATCTGTTCACCAGGCAAATCAAAGTGCCCCATGCCACAATCCTAAAAGTATTAAAACACATTGTGATTTTACTTTTTAGGTTGTTATAGTTATGACTGATGGTCGTTCGTATGACAGCGTTGTTGGTCCTACTCGTTTATTTCGTGGAAAGAACATCAAATGTTACGCGGTGGGAATTGGCCGTAAATTCAACAGAAGACAGCTGCTACAGATCGCGGGCGGGGACAGGCGCCACGTGTTGACCGCAGGATTTAGGAATCTACGATCCATCGCAGGAACTATTGGACGACGAGCATGTAAAGGTACAAACATCAGTAATAGAAAGCTATCAATTTTTCGACATTTTAAATTTAATTATCTGTTTTCACTTGCTCATACTTGGGAAAACACGTATAAATTAAAATTAGGCAAATTTATTTACTAATAAAGATTGCACATATAAAACCCCTTTTCCATACTACCGTTTTTCCTGCATTAGCTAATGATTTTCCTCCCCCTCTATCAAGTTCAATTTTACAGACATCTCTTTGTACGGTATTTTGGAAAGAAGACCAAGTTGACCCTGGGCATCAAATGATCTTGTAATCGTTAAGTTTGGTTCGCTTTGTTCTCTCTAACGACAAAATTACGCCGTGTGTTTAATTTAACGTTTTCGTTCAGTTGGAGTCTTTGAATATATTTGGTGCAGAGTATATAGAGTATTGAATTAACGACACAAAGGTGTCTACTAAAAGTTGTTCCTTTTCTAAACTGATACAGATGACTTAAAGGAAAAAAAATCAAAACTTTTCCGTGGAGGGAGTTGCCAACACTTAATTTCATTCAATAGAAGTCAAAGTGAATTAAAATTTGTTAGATGACCTTAGAGAACATTTCATCTAGATAAAAGCTGTTTGTTTAGCCTAAGGATTTAAAACGTCCTTTACTTGACGTTTAGGCTCTACAGATAAATTCCCGGAAAACCAACTACTGACATCAACCAAACATATTAGTGTCCCAAAAGACACATTATAATAGTACTTTTATTTTATTTTAGGAGCACGCCCCGTTCGCCCTGTTCGTCCACCAGCAAAAGGTAATGTTCAAGAGACTTAACCACATTTTCAGCCTCGTCGCAATAAGAAATCACTTTTCAAAAGTGCATATCATCATGCAGAAGTATCATTATTAAATACCAAACAAGGTCGGCAAACTATTTCTTTTCTTTACTTTGCCAGGTTGCCGTGCCCGGGTTGATATAGCGTTCATCATCGATGGCTCAGGAAGTATTGAGCAGTATGGCAGAGGGAACTTTCGTCGATGTCTCAACTTCGTAAAAGCCATTGTCAGGGGATTTAATACCGACAGTGGACAAACTCGGGTCGGAGTCGTCTTGTTCTCGTCCAGGCCTCGGCTGATCTTCGGCTTTAGACGATATCGTCGAAAGAATCAACTTCTTACAGCAATCAGCCGCATACGCTACCCCAGGGGAGGAACTAAAACTGGATATGCCATGCGTTATACTTACTACCGTGTGTTCAGATATGCAAGAAGAGGAGTTCGAAAGGTATTTCTTTCAACCTTTATTATTCCCTTTGTTTTTAGAAATGTGTGTAGCTAAATCTGTTCACCAGGCAAATCAAAGTGCCCCATGCCACAATCCTAAAAGTATTAAAACACATTAAGGCCATTTATACGAGAAAAATAAGACGCGAACTGTACCATTTATACGAGCATGTCTTATCTAAGACGAGAACAGCTCGTATAAATGGTTCGCGTCTTATTTCTGTTCTTTACTCGTTTTCATGTGAATGTTGCCCGTAGCAACTGCAATCTAACGTGGCTCGCCAAAAATTAACGCATACGTACTATGCGTTCGCGTCTTATGTAAGACGCGAAGGTCATTTATACGAAGTTTTTCTCGTCTTAACTAAGACGCGTCTTATCTAAGAACAGGTGTTAAGGGCTGTTCTAAAATAAGACGCTTCTTAGCTAAGCCGCGTATTATTTTAGACGAAATGTGCCGTTTATACGGAAAGTTCGCGTCTAATTTAAGACGCGTCCTATGTAAGACGCGTCTTATTTCTCCTCCTATAAATGACCCTATTGTGATTTTACTCTTTAGGTTGTTATAGTTATGACTGATGGTCGTTCGTATGACAGCGTTGTTGGTCCTGCTCGTTTATTTCGTGGAAAGAACATCAAATGTTACGCGGTGGGAATTGGCCGTAAATTCAACAGAAGACAGCTGCTACAGATCGCAGGAGGAGACAGGCGCCACGTGTTAACCTCAGGATTTAGGAATCTACGATCCATCGCAGGAACTATTGGACGACGAGCATGTAAAGGTAAAAACATCAGCAATAGAAAGCTATCAATTTTTCGAAATTTTAAATTTAATTATCTGTTTTCATTTGCTCATACTTGGGAAAACACGTATAAATTAAAATTAGGCAAATTTATTTACTAATAAAGGTTGCAGATATAAAACCCCTTTTCCATACTACCATTTTTTTTACATTAGCTAATGATTTTCCTCTCCCTCTATCAAGTTTAATTTTACAGACAATGCTTTGTACGTTATTATAGAAAGAAGACCAGATTGACCCTGGGCATCAAATGATCTTGTAATCGTTAAGTTTGGTTCGCTTTGTTCTCTCTAAAGACAAAATTACGCCATGTGTTTAATTTAACGTTTTCGTTCAGTTGGAGTCTTTGAATATATTAGGTGCAGAGTATATAGAGTATTAAATTAAAGACACAAAGGTGTCTACTAAAAGTTGTTCCTTTTCTAAACTGATAAAGATGACTTAGAGGAAAAAAAATCGAAACTTTTCCGTGGAGGGAGTTGCCAACACTTAATTTCATTCAATAGAAGTTAAAGTGAATTAAAATTTGTTAGATGACCTTAGAGAACACTTCATCTAGATAAAAGCTGTTTGTTTAGCCTAAGGATTTGTAACGTCCTTTACTTGACGTTTAGGCTCTACAGATAAATTCCCGGAAAACCAACTACTGACATCAACCAAACATATTAGTGTCCCAAAAGACACATTATAATAGTACTTTTATTTTATTTTAGGGGCACGCCCCGTTCGCCCTGTTCGTCCACCAGCACAAGGTAATGTCCAAGAGACTAAAACATTTTCAGCCTCGTCGCAATAAGAAATCACTTTTCAAAAGTGCATATCACCATGCAGAAGTATCATTGTTAAATACCAAACAAGGTCGGCCAACTATTTCTTTTCTTTACTTTGCCAGGTTGCCGTGCCCGGGTTGATATAGCGTTTATCATCGATGGCTCAGGAAGTATTGAGCAGTATGGCAGAGGGAACTTTCGTCGATGTCTCAACTTCGTAAAAGCCATTGTCAGGGGATTTAATACCGACAGTGGACAAACTCGGGTCGGAGTCGTCTTGTTCTCGTCCAGGCCTCGGCTGATCTTCGGCTTTAGACGATATCGTCGAAAGAATCAACTTCTTACAGCAATCAGCCGCATACGCTACCCCAGGGGAGGAACTAAAACCGGATATGCCATGCGTTATACTTACTACCGTGTGTTCAGATATGCAAGAAGAGGAGTTCGAAAGGTATTTCTTTGGACCTTTATTATTACCTTTGTTTTTGGAAAATTGTGTAGCTAAGTCTGTTCACCAGGCAAATCAAAGTGCCCCATGCCAGAATCCTAAAAGTATTAAAACACATTGTGATTTTACTTTTTAGGTTGTTATAGTTATGACTGATGGTCGTTCGTATGACAGCGTTGTTGGTCCTGCTCGTTTATTTCGTGGAAAGAACATCAAATGTTACGCGGTGGGAATTGGCCGTAAATTCAACAGAAAACAGCTGCTACAGATCGCAGGCGGAGACAGGCGCCACGTGTTGACCGCAGGATTTAGGAATCTACGATCCATCGCAGGAACTATTGGACGACGAGCATGTAAAGGTACAAACATCAGTAATAGAAAGCTATCAATTTTTCGACATTTTAAATTTAATTATCTGTTTTCACTTGCTCATACTTGGGAAAACACGTATAAATTAAAATTAGGCAAATTTATTTACTAGTAAAGATTGCACATATAAAACCCCTTTTCCATTCTACCATATTTCCTGCATTAGCTAATGATTTTCCTCCCCCTCTATCAAGTTCAATTTTACAGACATCGCATTGTACGGTATTTTGGAAAGAAGACCAAGTTGGCCCTGGGCATCAAATGATCTTGTAATCGTTAAGTTTGGTTCGCTTTGTTCTCTCTAAAGACAAAATTACGCCATGTGTTTAATTTAACGTTTTCGTTCAGTGGGAGTTTTTGAATATATTTGGTGCAGAGTATATAGAGTATTAAATTAAAGACACAAAAGGTGTCTACTGAAAGTTGTTCCTTTTCTAAACTGATAAAGATGACTTACAGTAAAAAAAATCAAACCTTTTCCGTGGAGGGAGTTGCCAACACGTAATTTTATTAAAATTTGTTAGATGACCTTTGAGAACATTTCATCTAGATAAAAACTGTTTGTTTAGCCTAAGGATTTAAAACGTCCTTTACTTGACGTTTAGGCTCTACAGATAAATTCCCGGAAAACCAACTACTGACATCAAGCAAACATATTAGTGTCCCAAAAGACACATTATAATAGTACTTTTATTTTATTTTAGGAGCACGCCCCGTTCGCCCTGTTCGTCCACCAGCACAAGGTAATGTTCAAGAGACTAAAACATTTTCAGCCTCGTCGCAAAAAGAAATCACTTTTCAAAAGTGCATATCACCATGCAGAAGTATAATTATTAAATACCAAACAAGGTCGGCCAACTATTTCTTTTCTTTACTTTGCCAGGTTGCCGTGCCCGGGTTGATATAGCGTTTATCATCGATGGCTCAGGAAGTATTGAGCAGTATGGCAGAGGGAACTTCCGTCGATGTCTCAACTTCGTAAAAGCCATTGTCAGGGGATTTAATACCGACAATGGACAAACTCGGGTCGGAGTCGTCTTGTTCTCGTCCAGGCCTCGGCTGATCTTCGGCTTTAGACGATATCGTCGAAAGAATCAACTTCTTACAGCAATCAGCCGCATACGCTACCCCAGAGGAGGAACTAAAACCGGATATGCCATGCGTTATACTTACTACCGTGTGTTTAGATATGCAAGAAGAGGAGTTCGAAAGGTATTTCTTTGGACCTTTATTATTACCTTTGTTTTTGGAAAATTGTGTAGCTAAGTCTGTTCACCAGGAAAATCAAAGTGCCCCATGCCAGAATCCTAAAAGTATTAAATCACATTGTGATTTTACTTTTTAGGTTGTTATAGTTATGACTGATGGTCGTTCGTATGACAGCGTTGTTGGTTCTGCTCGTTTATTTCGCGGAAAGAACATCAAATGTTACGCGGTGGGAATTGGCCGTAAATTCAACAGAAGACAGCTGCTACAGATAGCGGGCGGGGACAGGCGCCACTTGTTGACCGCAGGATTTAGGAATCTACGATCCATCGCAGGAACTATTGGACGACGAGCATGTAAAGGTACAAACATCAGCATTAGAAAGCTATCAATTTTTCTACATTTTAAATTTAATTATCTGTTTTCACTTGCTCATACTTGGGAAAACACGTATAAATTAAAATTAGGCAAATTTATTTACTAATAAAGATTGCACATATAAAACCCCTTTTCCATACTACCGCTTTTCCTGCATTAGCTAATGATTTTCCTCCCCCTCTATCAAGTTCAATTTTACAGACATCTCTTTGTACGGTATTTTGGAAAGAAGACCAAGTTGACCCTGGGCATCAAATGATCTTGTAATCGTTAAGTTTGGTTCGCTTTGTTCTCTCTAACGACAAAATTACGCCGTGTGTTTAATTTAACGTTTTCGTTCAGTGGGAGTCTTTGAATATATTTGGTGTAGAGTATATAGAGTATTAAATTAAAGACACAAAGGTGTCAACTAAAAGTTCCTTTTCTAAACTGACAAAGATGACTTAGAGGAAAAAAAAAATCAAAACTTTTCCGTGGAGGGAGTTGCCAACACTTAATTGTATTCAAATTTGTTAGATGACCTTTGAGAACATTTCATCTAGATAAAAGCTGTTTGTTTAGCCTAAGGATTTAAAACGTCCTTTACTTGACGTTTAGGCTCTACAGTAAAAATTCTGGAAAACCAACTACCGACATCAACCATACATATTACATGTAGTGCCCAAAAGACACATTATAATAGTACTTTTATTTTATTTTAGGAGCACGCCCCGTTCGCCCTGTTCGTCCACCAGCAAAAGGTAATGTTCAAGAGACTTAAACATTTTCAGCCTCGTCGCAATAAGAAATCACTTTTCAAAAGTGCATATCATCATGCAGAAGTATCATTATTAAATACCAAACAAGGTCGGCCAACTATTTCTTTTCTTTACTTTGCCAGGTTGCCGTGCCCGGGTTGATATAGCGTTTATCATCGATGGCTCAGGAAGTATTGAGCAGTATGGCAGAGGGAACTTCCGTCGATGTCTCAACTTCGTAAAAGCCATTGTCAGGGGATTTAATACCGACAATGGACAAACTCGGGTCGGAGTCGTCTTGTTCTCGTCCAGGCCTCGGCTGATATTCGGCTTTAGACGATATCGTCGAAAGAATCAACTTCTTACAGCAATCAGCCGCATACGCTACCCCAGGGGAGGAACTAAAACCGGATATGCCATGCGTTATACTTACTACCGTGTGTTCAGATATGCAAGAAGAGGAGTTCGAAAGGTATTTCTTTCGACCTTTATTGTTACCTTTGTTTTTGGAAAATTGTGTAGCTAAGTCTTTTCACCAGGAAAATCAAAGTGCCCCATGCCAGAATCCTAAAAGTATTTAAACACACTGTGATTTTACTTTTTAGGTTGTTATAGTTATGACTGATGGTCGTTCGTATGACAGCGTTGTTGGTCCTGCTCGTTTATTTCGTGGAAAGAACATCAAATGTTACGCGGTGGGAATTGGCCGTAAATTTAACAGAAGACAGCTGCTACAGATCGCAGGCGGGGACAAGCGCCACGTGTTGACCGCCGGATTTAGGAATCTACGATCCATCGCAGGAACTATTGGACGACGAGCATGTAAAGGTACAGCTAAACTGACCGTCGTAATATGCGTATGAATGACAGCGTAAATAACACATGATGAAGCTTAGACAGTGGAAGATTTTTTAGGATTTATCCAGGAAAACATATTCATTGACGAAGTCTAAAGAAAGCGATGACTTTATTACTACATTGAATATACCTTATTGTGTTAGCGAGGAATCTTTTGTGTCCTTCACAGAATCTTTTTATACTTACAGACTGCTAGGAGCACAGGTGACGCATCAGTTACTGACTCGTACAAGTTTTCCAAAATAACCCATTGTAACGTTTCTTGTCGAATACATAATCGTGCCCTTATGTCAGTCGCATCTTTATTTTATTTTAGGAACACGCCCTGTTCGACCAAGGCAAGGTAATAATGTTGTGATTATGATGGTATTATATCAGAATTTGGTGATGAGTGGACGCTAACAAAGTCAATCTTGGAAATAAAACTTGCAGTGTTTTTATTTTGCTGGTTTGATCGAGCTCTTACCGCCAAAAACAGATCTTGCGCCGAAAATGGCCTTAAACGTTTGTGCGTTTCTTCTTTGTTCTTTTCCAACAGGAGGGCGCTCTATTTGTAACCTTCCCAAAGCCACTGGTCCTTGTCGAGCAGCCATTCAGAGGTGGTATTTTAACCGGGCAAAAGGGATCTGCGAGAGATTTATTTATGGCGGTTGTCGTGGAAACGCGAATAATTTCCGGACTAGAAGGGAGTGTGAAAGGAGATGCGCTGGTAGAGGTAAGTGTTTACATTCCATATACTCTGAAGCTCACTGCATCAACATGATAGGTTAAAGAATTAGCCTTCTTCGCAGTACGAAATAGAAAATACGGGACCGATTTACTTTGACTTTTTCCAGGCATCTTTGCTTCGTCAGAGTTTTCCAAATGTATCTTTTTCTGCTTTGCAAGCGTGTTGTGCCCGGGTGTCGTTATTGATATAAGAAATTTGACCCAAACAAAGAAGGAATCCAACTCCACTTGAACGGAGCGAATATTTAGGACTGGATGTCATTGGCCAAAAGCCGAAGATTGAATGATTTACGCCACAATGCGTTCAGCGTCATATCTTCAAATTAAATCCTTTCCGCTAAACTGAATGTTAAATACATTGGTGAAGGCAACCTTCGACATCACCTTTGCTACTGCCAACTAAAACACATGCAAGTAATGAAACCATCTTTCATTTTGTTTCAGGGGCACGCCCTGTTCGGCCACCAGCACAAAGTAATTTTCATTAGTTTTTTAAACATCAAGCCTTGAAGCAGTAAGAAACAACTTTTCAATAGTGTATATCATCACGCAGAAGTATCATTATTAAATACCAAACAAGGTCGGCCAACTATTTCTTTTCTTTACTTTGCCAGGTTGCCGTGCCCGAGTTGATATAGCGTTCATCATCGATGGCTCAGGAAGTATTGAGCAGTATGGCAGAGGGAACTTCCGTCGATGTCTCAACTTCGTAAAAGCCATTGTCAGGGGATTTAATACCGACAATGGACAAACTCGGGTCGGAGTCGTCTTGTTCTCGTCCAGGCCTCGGCTGATCTTCGGCTTTAGACGATATCGTCGAAAGAATCAACTTCTTACAGCAATCAGCCGCATACGCTACCCCAGAGGAGGAACTAAAACCGGATATGCCATGCGTTATACTTACTACCGTGTGTTCAGATATGCAAGAAGAGGAGTTCGAAAGGTATTTCTTTCGACCTTTATTATTCCCTTTGTTTTTGGAAAATTGTGTAGATAAATCTGTTCACCAGGCAAATCAAAGTGCCCTATGCCAGAATCACGCTAAAAGTATTTAAACACTTTGTGATTTTACTTATTAGGTTGTTATAGTTATGACTGATGGTCGTTCGTATGACAGCGTTGTTGGTTCTGCTCGTTTATTTCGTGGAAAGAACATCAAATGTTACGCGGTGGGAATTGGCCGTAAATTTAACAGAAGACAGCTGCTACAGATCGCAGGCGGGGACAGGCGTCACGTGTTGACGGCAGGATTTAGGAACCTACGATCCATCGCAGGAACTATTGGACGACGAGCATGTAAAGGTACAGCTCAACTTACCGTAGCAACATGCGCACGAATGACTGATTACTTAATAGATGGTGTAGCCTTTAGGAAAATATATCCATTGACGGGCTCTTTTAAAGAACAACAATGACTTTAGCACAACGCACCAACGACATCACGCGTCATCATAGCCAAACATTGCGGCTTAAGTGACCAACGACCAATAACATCACGACTTTTTTTGACCAATCAGATCTACAACCGGTGTTTAATAAGATCAACTGACGTGATACAACTCACTTTGACTTTGAAGATGACCACCTCACAGGTTGTGGAAACGTCATTCACTGTCAGCAACAGTCATATTCTGGACTAAAATTACCAGGATGATCATACCTAACTTACTTAGTTCCATCTTTGTCACGATTTGTAGCGAGGAAGGGCATGTGTCGATACCTATCACTGAGTCACAATACGTTGAAATAACCCATTGTGTCGTGTCTTGTTCAATTCAAATTGCGTTTTAAATGTCAGTGGTTTCTTAATTTTTTCTCAGGTACACGCCCTGTTCCACCAAGATTAGGTAATGATTGTAATTATCACTGATCATGATTCTGTCAGAATATATGAATGACTTGAGGTTAACAACATAAATCTTGACAATCAAACTTTCAGCACTTTCAGCTTGCTGGTCTGCCTTGACCGGGATGAGTTACTATTACTTGATTTGTTTTACACACATACACCTTAATTTTTAGATCAGTTGCATAATATGAATCTTTGCAAACTGAATTATAAAGCTGACGTGTTTAGGATGGGTGGTTACACAATCTCCTTTATCTAAAGCCGCTCTGTTGGAAAAGAAAGTTTGCATACATATTGCCTATATACATTCTGCTTTTCTCTCAGCCAAAGGATACCGATCGTTGAATGTCAAGAAATTTAGTTTGATTTTGGCTAAACATCCGTTTAGGAATTAAAATTTCGTCAGGCAGTAGGCTTCTTCTTCATGGTAATTGACCTGTCTAGATTTACAACTCAAATTACTTAATATCAACTGAATTCACCTTCGTTTCAGGACGTGTACGTGCTACAGCTGTATACCCTTTGACGTCACGAACGCGTGGTCGAGATATCAGCCGTTTCAGAAATCCACCAGGAATTGTCAGAAACGTTAGATTTGCTCCAGGTCCAGATGGAAAACCTAGTGGCTCTTATTATTTCCTTGGACGGTCCTACAGTTATATTCAATTTCCAAATCGAGGAAGGCTGGACACAAGAGGATCCATCACACTCTTGGCGTGGATCTACCATCAGGGCCACGCAGGGCCTATCTTTAACTATATGCCAAATGGCTGGGGAGTACACTTCTGGATGGTTACACCTAAAATGCTATTTGCACGGTTTACGCGTCGAAGGGGACGCCGTTTTACAAAGGCGGTGACCAGCAGACGAGTACGACCTAGACAATGGCAGTTTGTTGGTGCAGTTTACAATCAGCGAACAGGACGCGCCAAGTTGTTTGTCAATAATAGGTTCAGTGCCAATAAGTATATTGGTCGAATACGATTGGCTACTAACTACCCCGTCAGGATGGGAGCTCGTATTGGAGATAGAAGGTATTTCCAGGGACGAATCTCCTGTATGCAAGTATTTTCTCGAGCTCTTACCACCAGGCAGATCTTGCGCCAAAAGTGGAAGTGCTCTAGAAGAGGTAATTGCTTAAATATTTCATTTATTTTATCATCGGATGTAGCAGCAAGTAGTAAATTACAATAGAGATTTGGTTACAGTGTTGAAAAATCTTTTATTTATCATCTAGCATATCATAGGACCTGTCTTGTAATGATTTTCTTGCCCCTTCATCAAAGACTTGTTTTGTTCAAAGACCGCTTTTAGGGGTAGATAGGAGACTAAGTAGAGTTAAAAAGTCATCAACTGATTATCGATTTGCTTAGTGTAATTCTTCTTGCTAAAGACCGAATGCCGTCTATATAATTAAAGATTTGAGGGAACGTTTTTTGTCCAGTAGTTCTTTAAACCTATTCATTACAATAAATAAATAACTACAAACAGTTTGAAACGGGGACGCAAGGGTGAGTAGGAAACGTTTCTCATCTGCCAAATATGACCCAAAGAAAAAGAGTCAAAATTTTCATGAGAGAGCGAATGCTTAAGACTGACTTTCATTCGCTAGAAATCGAAGTTTCCAAGGTAAAAATTCCTGTTTTTTAGGTCTAAGGATGCGAAGCGTTCCTTTATCAGATTTGTTTGGCTCTGAAGATAAATACTGTTGAGTCAGTTACAGTTACAGACATCAACCATACATTTCTTCACTACAACACATGATAATAGTTTCCTTAATTTCATTTCAGGGATAAGCCCAGTTCGACCACCAGTACGAGGTAATGTTCCTAAGTCTAAAACATATCGAGATTGACGCAGTAATAAGCTGCGTTTGGCAAATGGGTATCATGATGCACAAGTATCATTATTAAATACCAAACAAGGCCGGCCAACTATTTCTTTTCTTTACTTTGCCAGGTTGCCGTGCCCGGGTTGATATAGCGTTCATCATCGATGGCTCAGGAAGTATTGAGCAGTATGGCAGAGGGAACTTTCGTCGATGTCTCAACTTCGTAAAAGCCATTGTCAGGGGATTTAATACCGACAGTGGACAAACTCGGGTCGGAGTCGTCTTGTTCTCGTCCAGGCCTCGGCTGATCTTCGGTTTTAGACGATATCGTCGAAAGAATCAACTCCTTAGAGCAATCAGCCGCATACGCTACCCCAGGGGAGGAACTAAAACCGGATATGCCATGCGCTATACTTACAACCGTGTGTTCAGATATGCAAGAAGAGGAGTTCGAAAGGTATTTCTTTGGACCTTTATTATTACCTTTGTTTTTAGAAAATTGTGTAGTTGAATCTCTTCACCAAGGTTAGTGCCCAATGCCAGCATCCGAAAACTAATTAAACACATTGTGATTTTACTTTTTAGGTTGTTATAGTTATGACTGACGGTCGTTCGTATGACAGCGTTGTTGGTTCTGCTCGTTTATTTCGTGGAAAGAACATCAAATGTTACGCGGTGGGAATTGGCCGTAAATTTAACAGAAGACAGCTGCTACAGATAGCAGGCGGGGACAGGCGCCACGTGTTGACGGCAGGATTTAGGAATCTACGATCCATCGCAGGAACTATTGGACGACGAGCATGTAAAGGTACAGCTAAACTGACCGTACCATCATGGTACAAATGACTGTTTACTTAATGGCTGGTGAAATTTTTAGGGAAATAGACCGACACTTTGAACAACGATAACTTTATCGGTAGAACGTCATATATATTTTTCCTGTGATTTGTAGCGTGGAATATATTGTCGCTTTCACAAAACCTTTCTAAACACTTACAATCTTTGGTAGGAAGACATGTGTCGATACCTATTACTGAGTCAGAAGTTTCATGAAATAAGCCATTATCACGTGTCTTGATTAATAAATAATCGCGCCCTAAATGTAAGTCGTATATTTGTTTTATTTCAGGTACACGCCCTGTTCGACCAAGATTAGGTAATGATTCTGATTATGACTGATCATGATTATGTCGGAATATTTGAATGACTTGAGGTTAACAAATTAAATCTTGAGAATGACATTTGCAGCAGTTTCATTTTGTTGGTGTGCCTTAACCGGCCCGAGTTAATATTGCTTGACAAAATGTCACAAAGTAAGATAGAAAATACGGAATATCTATTTAAGATCATGGATTAGTTGGATATACCTTGAAACTTTGGTGAGTAGCATCTTACGAATCGTGGCTACTTTAGATTAGAAAATATAGCATAGCGATCAGTTGTTTAGGATCTAAAGCAACCCCGTTGGAAAAGAAAGTTTGTACTTATATTGTCTCTATAGATTCAGCTTTGTCCGTCAATTGATGACGATCGTCGAATGCCAAGACATTCAGTTTGTTATTGACAAAACTTCTGTTTAGGAAGTTAAAGTTTCGTCATGCAATAGGCTTCTGCTTCATGGTATAATCTGTTTCGATATTTACAACTGAAATTACTTCTCAACTTATTAAATCCACTTTCGTTTCAGGACGTGTACGTGCTACAGCTGTATACCCTTTGACGTCACGAACGCGTGGTCGAGATATCAGCCGTTTCAGAAATCCACCAGGAATTGTCAGAAACGTTAGATTTGCTCCAGGTCCAGATGGAAAACCTAGTGGCTCTTATTATTTCCTTGGACGGTCCTACAGTTATATTCAATTTCCAAATCGAGGAAGGTTGGACACAAGAGGATCCATCACACTCTTGGCGTGGATCTACCATCAGGGCCACGCGGGGCCTATCTTTAACTATATGCCAAATGGCTGGGGAGTACACTTCTGGATGGTTACACCTAAAATGCTGTTTGCACGGTTTACGCGTCGAAGGGGACGCCGTTTTACAAAGGCGGTGACCAGCAGACGAGTACGACCTAGACAATGGCAGTTTGTTGGTGCAGTTTACAATCAGCGAACAGGACGCGCCAAGTTGTTTGTCAATAATAGGTTCAGTGCCAATAAGTATATTGGTCGAATACGATTGGCTACTAACTACCCCGTCAGGATGGGAGCTCGTATTGGAGATAGAAGGTATTTCCGGGGACGAATCTCCTGTATGCAAGTATTTTCTCGAGCTCTTACCGCCAGGCAGATCTTGCGCCAAAAGTGGAAGTGCTCTAGAAGAGGTAATTGCTTAAATATGTCATTTATTTTATCATCGGATATAGCAGCAAGTAGTAAATTACAATAGAGATTTGGTTACAGTGTTGAAAAATCTTTTATTTATCATCTAGCATATCATAGGACCTGTCTTGTAATGATTTTCTTGCCCCTTCATCAAAGACTTGTTTTGTTTAAAGACCGCTTTTAAGGGTAGATAGGAGACTAAGTGGAGTTAAAAAGTCATCAACTGATTATCGATTTGCTTAGTGTAATTCTTCTTGCTGAAGACCGAATGCCGTCTATATAATTAAAGATTTGAAGAAACGCTTTTCGTCCAGTAGTTCTTTAAACCTATTCATTACAATACTAAAGTAACTACGAACAGTTTGAAACGGGGACGCAAGGGTGAGTAGGAAACGTTTCTCATCTGCCAAATATGACCCGAAGAAAAAGAGTCAAAATTTTCATGAGGGAGCGAATGCTTAAGACTGACTTTCATTCGCTAGAAATCGAAGTTTCCAATGTCAAAGTTCCTGTTCTTTAGGCCTAAGGCTGCAAAGCGTTCCTTTATCCGATTTTTTTGGCTGTAAAGATAAATTCTGTTGATCCAGTTGCAGTTATACTGACATCAACCATACATCTCTCCACTACAACACATGATAATAGTTTCCTTAATATTTTCATTTCAGGGATACGCCCAGTTCGACCACCAGTACGAGGTAATGTTCCTAAGTCTAAAAGATATCGAGATCGACGCAGTAATAATCTGCGTTTGGCAAATGTGTATCATGATGCACAAGTATCATTATTAAATACCAAACAAGGTCAGCTAACTATTGCTTTTCTTTACTTTGCCAGGTTGCCGTGCCCGGGTTGATATAGCGTTCATCATCGATGGCTCAGGAAGTATTGAGCAGTATGGCAGAGGGAACTTTCGTCGATGTCTCAACTTCGTAAAAGCCATTGTCAGGGGATTTAATACCGACAATGGACAAACTCGGGTCGGAGTCGTCTTGTTCTCGTCCAGGCCTCGGCTGATCTTCGGTTTTAGACGATATCGTCGAAAGAATCAACTCCTTAGAGCAATCAGCCGCATACGCTACCCCAGGGGAGGAACTAAAACCGGATATGCCATGCGTTATACTTATTACCGTGTGTTCAGATATGCAAGAAGAGGAGTTCGAAAGGTATTTCTTTCGACCTTTATTATTACCTTTGTTTTTAGAAAATTGTGTGGTTGAATCTCTTCACCAAGGTTAGTGCCCAATGCCAACATCCGAAAACTAATTAAACACATTGTGATTTTACTTTTTAGGTTGTTATAGTTATGACTGATGGTCGTTCCTATGACAGCGTTGTTGGGTCTGCTCGTTTATTTCGCGGAAAGAACATCAAATGTTACGCGGTGGGAATTGGCCGTAAATTCAACAGAAGACAGCTGCTACAGATAGCAGGCGGGGACAGGCGCCACGTGTTGACGGCAGGATTTAGGAATCTACGATCCATCGCAGGAACTATTGGACGACGAGCATGTAAAGGTACAGCTAAACTGACCGTACCATCATGGTACAAATGACTGTTTACTTAATAGATGATGAAGTTCTTAGGGAAATAGACGGACACTTTGAACAACGATAACTTTATCGGCAGAACATTTTATATATTTTTGTTGTGATTTGTAGCGTGGAATATATTGTCGCTTTCACAAAACTTTACTTTACACTTACAATCTTTGGTAGGAAGACATGTGTCGATACCTATTACTGAGTCAGAAGGTTCTTGAAATAACCCATTATCAAGTGTTTTGTTGAATGAATAATTGCGCCCTAAATGTAAGTCGTATATTTGTTTTATTTCAGGTACACGCCCTGTTCGACCAAGATTAGGTAATGATTCTGATTATGACTGATCATGATTATGTCGGAATATTTGAATGACTTGAGGTTAACAAATTAAATCTTGAGAATGACATTTACATTTCATTTTGCTGGTGTGCCTTGACCGGCCCGAGTTAATATTGCTTGACAAAATGTCACAAAGTAAGATAGAAAATACGGAATATCTATTTAAGATCATGGATTAGTTGGATATACCTTGAAACTTTGGTGAATAGCATCTTACGAATCGTGGCTACTTTAAATTAGAAACTGTAGCGTAGCGATGATTTGTTTAGGATCTAAAGCAACCCCGTTGGAAAAGAAAGTTTGCATTTATATTGCCTCCATACATTCAGCTTTGCCCGTCAATTGATGACGATCGTCGAATGCCAAGACTTTGTTATTGAGAAAACTTTTGATCTGTTTAGGAAGTTAAAGTTTCATCATGCAGTAGGCTTCTGCTTCATGATATAATCTGTTTCGATATTTTGAACTGAAATTACTTATCAACTTATTAAATCCAATTTCGTTTCAGGACGTGTACGTGCTACAGCTGTATACCCTTTGACGTCCCGAACGCGTGGTCGAGATATCAGCCGTTTCAGAAATCCACCAGGAATTGTCAGAAACGTTAGATTTGCTCCAGGTCCAGATGGAAAACCTAGTGGCTCTTATTATTTTCTTGGACGATCCTACAGTTATATTCAATTTCCAAATCGAGGAAGGTTGGACACAAGAGGATCCATCACACTCTTGGCGTGGATCTACCATCAGGGCCACGCAGGGCCTATCTTTAACTATATGCCAAATGGCTGGGGAGTACACTTCTGGATGGTTACACCTAAAATGCTGTTTGCACGGTTTACGCGTCGAAGGGGACGCCGTTTTACAAAGGCGGTGACCAGCAGACGAGTACGACCTAGACAATGGCAGTTTGTTGGTGCAGTTTACAATCAGCGAACAGGACGCGCCAAGTTGTTTGTCAATAACAGGTTCACTGCCAATAAGTATATTGGTCGAATAAGATTGGCTACTAACTACCCCGTCAGGATGGGAGCTCGTATTGGAGATAGAAGGTATTTTCGGGGACGAATCTCCTGTATGCAAGTATTTTCTCGAGCTCTTACCGCCAAGCAGATCTTGCGCCGAAAGTGGAAGTGCTCCAGAAGAGGTAATTTTTTAAATATTTCATTTATTTAATCATCAGAATAGTTGCAGGAAGTAATAAATTACAATAGAGATTTGGTTACAGTGTTGACAAATCTTTAATTTACTGTAGGCAGTGTTCGACCACCTATACCGCCAAGAAGGGGTAAGTCACTCCCTGTTTGTAGAGTTTGTTCAGTTTTACCTGAGAAATACTAGAATAAGATGTTAACCTATTTACTAGAAAATGTTAGTGAAGCACTGAAAGTACTGAAACGGGAGTGTTTGAACATCTTAAATATTTTTGCGTACTTGTAGGAGAGATAATGAATATCATTAACATATCAGATTATCATATCGTTTCTATGTCAATATTCAAATGCTGTTTTCCTTCACTATGTTTGATTCGTTCTGTTTCTCAACAATTATTTCGGGGCAAATACCCTTCAATTGTTACATGCAGTCAATGTCTGTAGTGCCACAGGATGCGTGGCATCAAACTGTATTGACCAGTATCTCTGTTTTTGCAGGAAGAACTTTGAGAATCACTGTTAACTTAATAGGTAAGGAAATTGCCCTATATAATGTATTCTGTTTAGTGTTTGAGACGGAGTGGAATAGTCCAGAGATTTATCAAAGAGCAGGAGAGTGAAAAAGGTGCATACAGACAATGCATGTTTGAAAACTGTTGTCAGTAATTGACCTGTTGCACAAAATTAACATCCTTCCAGAAATCGTTTGATTTTTATTGGTAATTTTTTACCTTGGTGTTCCCTTAACGTGTTCTCCGCTAAAGTCAAAACCAGTTCCTTTTGCTTTGGTTATAAGGCTAATGCCCTTTAGTACCGTTATAGTTTCATTGATTGATTCATTATTTTTCCACACGTCTGACTCAAAGGGTTTTTTTTTTTCGCATTGTAAGTATTGTCGCTAGATGTCTGATGCAAACCAATGATAGCTTCGACACATGCAAGAACCAAAGCAAGCTGTTGATTCGTTGCTCCCATTTAGTATGTGAAGTTGATTTGAACGATAATCAGATCCCTGCCCGCGTTGTCTTTGATTCGGGGTAGTGTGATGATGGGTAATTATATTATCCTGGTAGTTCTTGCTCTCTTCTGTGTTATTACTTTAATTCCCTCGAAAAGAAAATTTAGTCAAGATTGATTCTGTTTGAGCGCCATCCCATATATTCGTACTTGTTTACAGCTGGGTGTGCAGACCAATACTTTTAGTTATTTCTTTTTATATAAACACTGGTTTTAAGGGTTTCATGTGGTCGATCTGGAAACTGTCTCCAATTTTAGTTGTGAACACTAAAAGTATCACGCTCTCTAGATACCGTTAGTTTGATTCAGTTTCGGCTTTGGTTTTCCACTACCATCCATCGGTTTTCATCCACTTTAGCAAAGAGCATCGGTTGCTTCAGAGACACAGGCCGACGAGCAATACAAACACTGGAAGGAAGAAGTCGCTTGTTAAGAGGAGGCTATCGACGAAGACGTCATGCAATTGAGAAATGTGCTCTAGCTGCAATCCGACGAGGTTGGAGAGTGTTTGCGGTCCAACATCAAGGATGGTGTGCGTCCTCAAGAACAGCTCATTTGACGTACAGAAAATATGGTACATCTAACCGATGTAGAAACGGAAAAGGGGGGCCTTGGGCCAATGATGTCTATGTTTTGAGAGGTAAATACCATGATTTATATTAAATCACGGTAAAGGCAACACGTATTAGTAGTCACATACCTTTATTTACTTTCTTTCTATCGCATATAAATGTCGTGTTGCATTCGTTACCAAAAAGTTCTTCAACAGTCAGGTAGCGCATTTAATTGTAGGAGAGACTATTAATTGATATGAGAAAGTCGTCATTAAGGAGCACTCAACTCTCCCTTTTTGTTTCTCTAGGATCATGCAGCAGACGCACGACTACCAACTTCTGTTGCGTGTTTCCGTTTATTTATAAGGGCAGAAGATATAGAAGCTGTACCAGAGCAAATTCTCCCAAGCGTCTGTGGTGTGCTACGTCTCCGAACTATGACTTAGATAAGCAATGGGGCTACTGTCCAGGTGGAGGAGGAAGAGGTAATAATACTTTCTTCCTGTAAAATTCACAAATCTAAGAAGTGGAGGAACGAGCACGCGAAAGTATACAAGTGTCAGGGAGGTGCCAAGTTACAATGTCAAATTTTAACTGAACATGATTTTTGTCAGGTGTAAATAAATACCTGCAGAAATTTCCTAAAAATGTCGTGTAAAACTTCTGTCTAAACCCTGATGTTTGTACCATTCACCAAATCTGCTCGGGTCTTTTCTTCTCGTCTTCACTTTATAGGATCATCAGATAGAGAAGATAATTGTCGCCGCTCAAGACTTGCATATGTTTTCAATTTTTTAAAAGCACGATAGGCAACGTGACGTCAAACATTTTTAACTGGCCTGACTTTTTGAACAGCTACTGGAAGTTTATGTTTAACTTGATTATTTCTGTTTGCAGCACCTAAGATAAGACTAACGCCACCGCTTAAACGTGAGTATACTTGACCGGTTTACCAATTATATTGTTTAATGCATGATCTTAACACCACGTTCTTTAGGCCGCAGCAGTTACAGCTTTCGCATGGGCAAGGAATAAAACAGCCGAAATTAATAGTTTTATTTAAAAAAGTTATCTCAAAGATACTAGCAACCTAACCGTTTTTCAGCTATCCTTTATCTACCGTCTGTTTCTTTTCTTTTACTTTTCTACTTTTTATTCATCTTTAGACATTTTTTCAGGTACATACGTACGCACGTACCAGCGTACAAGTAGGTCTTTTGATTGACTTTAGGCTCGTGAAGCCAAATCAAAAGACATTCCACGTATGTAGGAATATGCATTTGAAGCTCACAAGAGATTACAAACACTGGACTGAGCTTCAGACAATCTTGGACATCTTTCTTTATCTCTACAGTCCAAAGGATTGGCTGTTTTAAAGACACCTATCGCAGAGCCATTCCTCAACTGGACGGCAGAAGTGTGCTTCTCAGGGGTAACTATCAGCGACGTAAGAGAGCTATTGAAAAATGCGCCTACACAGCGATCAAGTACGGCTATACAATTATTGGAGTCCAGAACGGTGGCTGGTGTGCATCAGGACCACGAGCCTTGAAAACCTTTGCAAAGTATGGACGATCCAACCGATGCAGGAACGGAAAGGGAGGACCATGGGCTAATGACGTCTACAGGATAATAGGTATAAAGAGAATTACTCTAATGCTAGAAAAGTAACACCTGTTTTAAATTTTGAAGGCATCGTTTGGGAAAAGAACATCGATTGTCAATATACAACCTGCCTGTGGTTTGCAGCATCTTTCAAAAACAGAGATATAAGGAAAGTAGGGCTTATTGAAGTTTTATCGGGTCTTGCTTTTATGTTTTAACAAGCATTCACTGGAGGGTGGATTGTTATTATTTTAGATGATTCATTTAGTCAGCACTAATTATGGGAGTTAGATGAGAGGAAGAAAGTTTTCTAGGGGAGGCTGTTAGCAAAGTTAGCGTTTGAATCAGTAAATTAGCAGGTCTTTTCCACAGACAGAGTCTGTTCCTCTCGAGCATTTCCTTCCCAAATTCTAGCAGATGTTTTCTCCTCAGATTTTACCCAACCCAGATTTATCAAGTTCAAATACTTAACAACAGCGGCTTCATTCTAAAATCATAGGTTAAGTACCAGTCACAATATTTTGTAATTCACTCAGTCACAATAACCTTTGACCCGTTTTTACCACATTTATTTATTGATTCATTTATTTGTCAGGCAAATGCCGGAAAAGGTCAACAAGTGGTTATTGCTGCGTCTTTCCATTTGTATATCGACGGCGTCGTTACACCCGTTGTGCAAGGACTCGTAGGGGGAGACCTTGGTGCGCTATTACTCCAGACTATAGACCTGGCAAGCAATGGGGATACTGCAGAGGAGGACGAGGTAAGTGACAGTAATGAACCGAGAATAATGTATTTGAAATTGAAGCAAACACATAAAGTAGTGGAGCATAGAGATTGGTCAGCATTACTTGGTCAATAAAGAGGACTATAGAGTAATGATAGTCCCATTCAACTGATCAAATAACGCACTTTTTCTTTCATTCTTTTCTTTTTCTTAAGCTCCTCCGTTAAGAATAAGTGGAGTATCAAGTAAGTAATTTAACTTTTAATTTTTTGCATCAGTTATTTCCGATCTTTATCATATTTTACCGATAATAAACATAACAGTCAAGACAATAATGATAATAATACCTACGTTAGGCCATTTAACTAACAATATTTTGGGAAGAGTAAAGAGGGGTGGTTGACTTAATGTGATTCACATCCGCTGGGTGTTTAGGTAGTAAGCACAGTAAGAGTTATGTCGTCTTTAACATTTTTATCTAGAATTTTCTTTCAAATATTAAATTGAAATTTCGTGCATCATTTTGAATCAGTTCGATCTCTTGGCTGTTATCGGGATACCGGTCGCCGAGCCATTCCACAGATGGATGGACGTAGCATATTAGTCAAAGACTATTACCGAAGAAGAGCAGACGCCATCTTAAAATGCGCCTTGGTTGCTATGAAACACCGCTGGCCAGTTTTCGCTGTGCAACATCAAGGATGGTGTGCCACAGGCGTTAGAGCTCACATGACTTACCGGAAGTACGGAAGATCCAATCGATGTAGGAATGGAAAAGGAGGTCCATGGGCTAATGATGTGTATAGAATATCTGGTACGTTCCAATATAAACTAAAGCAACATTAATGGACTAATTTTTAAGCCTTGCTTGAACTTGTCTCTCAAATATCTCTTGGCTTGGTTTTCCCACTATTAACAGCATCCTGTGATTTTATCTTTCAGGCTTCTGCCGAAAGAGGACGACGAAGCGGTATTGCTGTTCTTTCCCATTCATTTACAAAGGTCGTCGTTATAACAGTTGCACCAGGAGAAAACACAGTCGACCATGGTGCGCACTGACACCCAACTACGATAGAGACAAGAAATGGGGCAACTGTGCTGGAGGTAAAGGTGACATACATTATAACCGGCAATGCTCAACAGAACACTTGAAAGTACACGAAAGCGGTTTCTTCATTACCCCCGAATAATATGATATAGTAATGACGTCGGTTAACAGGATGCCAATCCCTATACAAACCAATAGCTGTTGCGATATGTCCTAGTACAGTCCATTCTTTGAAATAGATCCGTTCTACTGTTTGTTAAGACCAAGCCATGCATAGACCAGTTGTACACTAGCAGCCCCGCATTCGTAGTTAAATGAGGCGATTAAAAGGTCTTAATTTACTTGAATCTGTTTTTCTAATTAAAGTCACTGATAACTATTGTTGCTATCACATTTTTTCTTTCTTATAGGACGCCCTGTCAGACCCCTACCGGTTGTCCCCCCAAGAGGAGGTTGGTTTAAAATCTATCAGGCTGTGAAGTCTTTTTCAAAATGTCACTTTCATTCTATTTTATTTGTTTGAAGAGAACCGACACAGCACATCCCAAAATAGATTCAAACTCTCACAAATCGCACCTAACCTTAGAAATTAATACATTTTTCTCGCTTCCCTTCCTGAAATTCAACCTCGGGAAATATAACCTTCTACTGGATACAATTTTTATTATTCATTTTAAAGCTTTCAACGATTTTTAGCCCTGCGTTTTTTCATATCACATTTTTGAAACCAACTCTAAGGCTGTACCTTAAACTGACCAATACGTGTATGTTCTTTGTAGGAAAGGTGGTTCGTGTCACAACAGGCTTGTTGGGTAAGTTACCTGGAAAAATTATTTTTTGCTTCCTATTATTTATTTACCTTTTTACCGTTAATATCATCTTTTTTTAAAAGACATCAGCCTGTATCTGGGTACCTTATCCTGCTATTTATTTTACGATTTATTTGTTTGTTTGTTTGTTTGCTTTTTAGCCAAAGGCATCGGTTGCTTCAGAGATACTGGCCGTCGAGCAGTTGCTACAATGGAAGGAAAAAGCCATCTTCTGGCAGGACATTATAGAAGACGCCGAGACGCTATAAGGAAATGTGCTCTGGCGGCAGAGAGGCGAGGCTACCGAGTATTTGCCATTCAACATGGTGGGTGGTGTGCGGCATCACGCACAGCCTACAGGACATATAGTAAATATGGAAGATCCAACAGGTGCAGAAATGGCAAAGGAGGACCTTGGGCAAACGATGTTTATTTTCTGAAAGGTCTGTCATATAGAATCTTATTGTATATTTTTTTGAAAAATTAACTTGGAAAATAAATCTCCTTCACCTGCGATGTCCAAGTTATTTCCTGTTTTCTCTTCACTGTTTAGTCAACTCTCTCTCGGATTTTAATCAAACCTCTTCAAAACGTCTATCTCTAGAGATAGTCCATATTTCTTACCGACATCTGTAGTAGTTTTTGAGATGTTCTATAGTTACATGCTTATAATTTGGAGAATTGTTTGTGAGAAGAACTTGCGTGATATTATTGGTAAGGATATGCTTCACTTATAATGAAACTTTCCTTTGTTTGGAAACTCTAACGTTTACTAAGTCTATTTGTTGAGGTCTTATAATGTCTCTATATTTCAGGTTCCTGTTCCGCCCGAACGACTCGCAACGACTGCTGTTCGTTCCCGTTCATTTACAAAGGTCGCCGCTATAACAGTTGCACGCGAATAAAGAGCAAACGACTTTGGTGCTCTTTGACATCTAGATATGACAGAGACAAGAAATGGGGTTACTGTGGTGGTAAGCGTGAATTAAGATTATCGAAGCTTAGGTTTCTATCACAGTGTATGTACTTCTGATCCGTGTCCCTACGTAAACTGTTCTTTTGATAATTTACTTTCATTGATTCTTGGCGCTCAATAGTACATATCAA